TCAGCAGCTCTAGAAAAAAATAAATATGATGAAAGTATCATACATGATAAATACTCTCAATCTGGCACGAACCTTTTAAGGCAAAATAAACAATCTAATAGATGCAGCATATGCACCTATAATATCTATATATTCATCTTGGTATAAATGTTAGATTATTATTTTTTTTATCACAAACTCGTAAATCTTACATAATATTTTTCCTGGCAATGATGAGGTGGCACTGTTACAACAAAAAACATACTTATTTGAGCTGATCAAAATTCAAATAAATCTGACTTAAGGAAATTAAAAATTAGTATTTTGGTTTTGAATTCTGAAAAAATATTGGTGACATTTTGTAGTCACATAAGACGGTTGGTCTTTATACACAGGTTATGCCCTGAAATTGCATAAAAGTGGTCACTACAGGCAGGTGGTTTTCATATAGAGGTGATCACAGGTTTGACCGTATTAGGTTATTCTAAGAACTAAAATACAGTAGCCAGTTGGTCAAATTACCTGAGCAGAAAAAATGTGCAAACTGTCAGACATTCTAAATGAAATCTGAATGCTGAAAATCAGTTTAAACGAAATCTTTTCCATATCAGTTTATTTTACCCTTGGCAATTTTCAGTTCTATGGCTATGTTGTGTAAATACCTAAACACTGTGTTTTCTCCTTTACTACTACTCTAAAATACTTTATTTTCACTTGGAATTAATTTTCGCTGAAGGAATTAGTCAGTGAAAATAAAATCCAGCAAATATACCTTTTTCCTATATTTTACATTCAACTCGTCAAAAATCAGTGAAAATTAGATTCCATACAAAAGACCCAAAACGTCATTACAGCAATAATTCATTCCAGCTAAAATAAAGTATTTTACAGTATTAGATCAGGGAAATGAAGCATGACTGTTCATATGTTTGAATTTAAATGCCATGTTGTCTAATATAGCATGAATAACAATCAATTTTTCTGGTTAAATGACTCTAATCAAAATGGAAATCAGCATGTACAGGTTGTTTCTTGTTGCTAAGCAACTTTTGCACACAAGTGCAAGCACATTGAACACCTGTCTTTTTGTTTGCTAGTCTACAATGTGCTCAATCAGTAATGCTTCAATCAACTTGAATTTTGGAGTTCAAAATAGGCCATACTTCCTAGAACACATGGCTATTTTGAGCATGATTCTTATCATTTAAATAAAGCACTTTTAAAAAAACACCACTTTCATTTCATTTCTCTTTACAGTTTTGAAAGTCTTCGGGCTCGGTTTCTCTTGTTACAAGCTAAACTAAAGAAGTTAACTGGATCGGTAAGTTGCATGTGGCATACAAACAAACATCAAGAATTTCCACAAGTAGTTTCGAAATAAATTTAGATTTTATTGCCTTTATATAAAACACATACTAAATTATAAATTATTCTCACTTGTAATGTGCTTACATGTATGAGCAGATTTGGTAAATGTTTATACCACATTACATGCCAGACACAGTATTAAATGGTGGTGATCATACATTGCATCGTATGAGTCCCATGTTTTGTATACAACATATGCATTTTATTTATGCATTAAATTATTTTGCTGGTTAAATTTTCAAAAAAATAAATAATTCCACTGGCTCAATTGTTATTTCTTACAATGTTATGCAAATTGGGAGCTATAGTTAGAGTATTTTAATCATGTTAAAAAACAGTCATATACTGTAAAATACTTTATTTTAGCTGGAATTAATTTTCACTGGTTTTTCACAAGTTGAATGTAAAATATAGGAAAAAAGGTATATTCGCTGGATTTTATTTTCACTGAAACATTCCTTCAGCAAAAATAGCGTAAATTAATTCCAAGTGAAAATAAAGTATTCTACAGTATATCTATTTCTTGAGCATTTAATGAAAGATAATTGATTCCCAAAATATATATATTTTTTTATATCACAAATTAAAGTGTCTCTTCAAAGTGTATAAAGTGAAATTTCCAGGTGATGTCAGAAATATAGTAACAAGTAACAGTAACTGAAAGCACAGGAAAGACAATTTCCAATAGACATTTTAAATTAGGATCTCTATATAGTATAAATCAACGGTTGATGATAGTGTTTGTTTTTTGCTTGGAACAAGATTAGACAATGTGCAATAAACTGTTCTGTTATTCGTTATACTGACTTGGACCATGGAACTATAAACCCCAGGAAGAACAACGAAACTAAGAGGATTAAAAAAACCTTTGTCTTAGTTTATCTTACAGTGCTTTCGCTTTTGTTTCCACGACATTAGTCATACTCCATGTTAGTTGCCGCCGATACGCCCGTTTCAACCGCTTTGCTGGAAACGGAAAACTTGAAAAAAAATTTTCATATCTGCGCAGTAAAATATTTCGTTCACTACGCATGCGCAAACAAGTCGGTCTGCAGGGTGACATTCAGTGTACCGGAAATCATGCAACGGGTCGGAGTTTTAGCGAGTTTTCATAATTTTTAATGTCGTTTTTAGATTACTTCTTGTTTTTTTCAACCCTCGAAAAAATAAGGTTGCAAAAGTTTGCGAAACATGGGGTTTGGTGAGCTGTTTGTTGTTGAGATATCCCGACTAATTCCGTGTTTCCCTTCGATCGCCAGAAGTGGCAATGTGTTTTTTTTCCCGTTGAATGTCGATCATTTATCAGTGTTTTTGTCTTGGCGCCATTGTTTTTTTATGCTATAACCGGAACAACTCGGTCACGTGATCTCCCGGAGTCGTCCGATTGACTCCGAAAATGACCGATAGTCGGAGATAAACGTTCATTTGCGTAAATCGGCTTATTTTTTAATGCGACAAAATAAACAGTCAAAATAAACATTCGACATCGCGGCAACTATCATAGTCAAAGGAAACGAAGTGGTTGTTCTTCCTGGGGTTTATAGTTCCATGCTTGGACCCAGCTTTATGAATATATTTCACTTAGATGTACAAAAATAAAATAGGTTATATATGTAATTGTTTATTTTACATAATTTGCAGGATCCTTTGCAATGTGAAGAAATTCAGAAAATTCAGAAAAAGCATATGGAGAGAGAAAAATTACTTGGTAAATTAAAAATTACTTGGCACCCTTTTATAGACATGACATCCAGCTAACAGGGCCAGTGAGGCGGGAAGATTTCACACATTTTCAGGTGATGCTGTTGTGGTGTCAATCAAAGTTTAATTCAACTTTTCTTCAAATTTACATATTAAAAAATAAAATAATTTATAAAAACAAAGCTTCTGAAACATTAAATTGTAGCTGTTATAGCGGTAATACATGTACATACATGTATGTGTTGCTCCATATTTCCTCAAAATGGTGATTTCATGTCCAACAATTAGTAAAAATTGCGATTATAAATAAATTTGTATTCATAAAGTCAGCAGGAAAATGTGTTGCCAAGATTTGTTTTTCATTGCAAAAAACACCATGGACAGTACGACACTGAAAATGTGTTGAATCCCTGCCACATTCTTGTTCATTACACGTCCTAGTTTTTGAAAAGTGTCCTTGTCATGAAATCAGTCAATAGATGGGAGCTATGCTATGTTGTCATATTATGTAAAATAGAATCTATGATGGCATCTCCACCCTTAATATTTATCTTTACAATAAATTGTTATTCTTTTACCGTACAGGTGCAGACAGCTGAGGAATGATGCTATGGTAACCTATATAAAGCTTTAAATCACAAAAATATCAAATACAAGTAGATCAAGAAACTATATCCAATAAAAACCAATTGGCTGTTGATCACCTGACTGATGAGAGCGCCCTCTACAGAGAAATTTCAGCTGGGACACACCTTGAATCAAAAATCACCCAAATGTATTTCTAATATTTTGAGCCTTGAATAATGGTATCACTTTTTGTTTAAGTTTCCAATTAATTTGTTGAGTTTATAAATAAATATTTATAATTCTAGTTACCAATACCACTGATTTGCTTCTGTGAAATGTGATTGTGGTAGTATGTGTTCGCTCAGATTTAGTAGAGACTAAAATGGCTTGTATACTAAGCTAGAAAATCCCCTATTAGTTACCAACTGCTGGAGAGCCTACAAATGTACATTTGGAACAGTGCTGCTCATGGAGAGCTGCCTATAGTTTTACATCCATATTGATGTGTTGTTCAATAAGCGTATCCGTGTCATTAGCTTAGCTACCATAAGTGAAAGGATCAGTGGAAATTAGTCTCACAAGCCAATTCTGTATCAACTGTCATATTAGATGGAGCCACTACTTTCTCTATTCTTCATTGTGGTGTGTTGCATATACCAGTAGATAGTGTTTTTTTTTTTTACTGAGGTGGCCATTGTGGAGAACAAAAACAGTACTTTCCCAGCAAATGAGCATTGTTGATAACAAAGAATACTTTTCTAGTAAATGCTGAATGAAAGTGAGTGGAGTATAAGAACAATGAGTGATGAGCCATTAGTAGTATATTAGTTTTAAACAGAATAGAAACAGTCAATCCATTTAATTTCACAATAAGCATTCTTTATTTCACCACTGAATACTATACTTTGAAAAAAAGACAAATAAAATCCACAAAATACTATATCAGTTGTATTGACCAAATCCATTATATTGAGTGGAAACATCAATACAATGTATATGAAACAGGATTAATAACCATAACCCCCCCCCCCTCCCAATTTATCAAAATCTATACACATAATCTTTTGTTTAGGCAGTAGTAAAAAGTATGCAGATCTTTATGAATTGACGGAATGTATTAAATTTGAAAACCAGACAGAACTTATTTATAGCTTATTAATATCTTACAAGCATGGTGGATTGTCAATATCGTACTGTACAAGTAAACATCTTGGCTTTTTCAAACTAAATACTGTAATTATTAATGCATAGTGGTACTGCTTATGTAAAATAAGTTTTTTTTTGCACAACCATATTCTGCAAGCAGTTAAATAAAAAAAAAACCTGTAGCAGTTAGCTGTCTTGTTTTCAATATAGTAGTCCAGGTAGCATGCATTAAACTCCACTACTGTGGATATCAATCAAAAAGGCAGGCAGAAAAGTGTTGCTTGAAATTAATAAATCTTAAAATTTTTGCATAAGGCTGATCACCACAACAGCATATCAAGCTAATATGGCCTTATTCCTGCTAGTAGAGTACTATGCCCTTGATATAAATTGAAGAATACAAACCATAAAACACCACCAACAAAGACTTACTTAAAAATTTGGTTACTGATAAAATGGACATATTTAATATATAAATACCAGTACTATGAACCTAAGCGGGTATACAATGTACTTGTAATATTGAGGGGTTTCAGTCACGAAATATGGAGGGATTTTTCTTTTTTTTTATGAAATTGGTGAAAAAAAAATGCAAATAAAAATCACAAACCTTGACAAAAATACATTTTTCTGATTCAATTATTTTACAAAATAAAGTGCACTCCAACTCAAGGATGAGCACATACGCACCCCCTCCCCTCCCCTCTCCATGTATGAACCAACCTATGTAATCTGTTGATTTTACACACCAAATGACAAATGTGGAAAACTGATATGATACACTTTTCAAGCATTTTTTCCCCTCTAATTTGCATGATTTCTAAATGTGTATATTCTAACTAATAAACTGTAATTTTGTTTTTAAACAGTTTAAAAATATTTTAATAATGTTATTGGATGTTGAAACACCCTCATCTTCTGCTATACCGACTATTGCTACTGCTGCTATTACTACGGCGACTTTCTCCACTTTGTGTACGCCGAACAAAGTCATCGCAGGCAACAGCATGTGATCTGGAATCGTAACTCTGTTGAGAAAAGAAGGAAACATTACTTTCACATCAACACACAATAACACAATGTTGCTTGAAAAAAATTTCAATTTTGAAGAATCATGAACAAATACAGATTTTGTAACTATTCATGGTCTAACAAGTCCTTGAATGTGTTGAGAACATTTGTACAGATAATAGAAGCCACTCACTCACTAACTCACTCACGCTGCAATTAATAATTAAACAAATTTAAACCTCATACCAAACCAAGGCTTTTTTTTTAGAAATCCTCTCATCTTGACAAGAACGACATATTAACCTACCATTCTCCTATCTCTATCTCTGTCCCGATCCCTATCTCTGCCTCTATCACGATCCCGGTCCCGATCTCTGTCTCTATCACGATCTCTATCTCTGCTTCTTGGCATCGGCACAGACGGTTGAGTCGCATAACTTTCAGGGTGACGATGTGTCATAGTAGGTGGTGGAGGTAGACCTGGTGCCAAGTAGTGAGGAGGAGGTGGAGGGTCCATAGCATATGAACGCTAGTAAAATACAAGTACAACAATCAGAAATATAATGCACATAACGATTGATATAATTTTGTCTATTTCTATAGATTTTCAATACCACAGACCTCTGTATTTAAAAATAAAACTAATCATGCTCCAGAACAGCTTGCTGTGATTAAAGATGGTGGACGGATGAAAGCATGCTCAAGAAACGAATGAAATAAATTATTATTATCTGGCTAAGAATAGAGACTAGACCTGTTTGTTGAAACAGAATCACATACCCAGAGACAACTCATTAAAGACAATGACTGGTACCAAGAATTTGTGTCCTCTTATACACTGATACACTGATATAGTGTGGCAGTCAAGACATGACAGACGAACTTTCACAAATTAAGCTGGATATTGAAAAAAATAAATTGCCAAAATAAACAGTCATTGATGGTGGAAATGGCATGACATATTCAATTGCAACTGATTAATGGCTTCACATTCACTGACCAGTCCTGAGACTTACCAACCAAGAGGGTATTTTCAATATATATAGCAGAATTTCTTTAAAAATTTCTATTTAGAAATATTACTTACCATATCTTGATATGGTGGCATTGGAGGCATTGGTGGAGCATGCCGACTGCCATGAAAATCTCTCATATAATCCGAATAAGACTAGAGTGGGGCCATGGAACAAACATAGAAAGTACAATACATCAGTGGTTGGGTGCGGTATACAAATATATTCACACAACATATAATTTAATTGAGTAGAGAACAATGCCACATACTGGGCTACCCCTTTTTTGGGTTGATATTATGTACTGCAGTAAGTGACATTTTCGATTTCCAAAAGCTAGACATGAACAACCAATGATTGAGGGGAAAGAAAACAAATAAAATTCTCATGGTGTACTGTATATTTCATTACACATAAATTCTGATCTCCACTCCTGTCGCTCGTACAGTAAATTGATAATGAAAGACAGCCAACAGAAATGTAATTGGGACCATTCTGATGAAATCTATTTACATAGTACTGTGTTTTCAGTATCTGTCTCTTAACAGGATGGAGAGGTCATGCGGTTCCTCTCATCTGCAGCAAGCATGGAACTAACTAGGAATTAGAAGTTAGGAAAACCTAAGTGCATCATAAAACTCTAACTCACGTATTGAAACTGACCAACACTTGCAGAAGGATATCTTACCCCATTCATCATGATCTCTCTCCGTCCAACAGAATACACTCTCCTGCAAAAGAGAAAGGATCTTTACATTGAAAATTTACAAGAACGGCACAAAGCTTATAAGAAATGAACGATGAATTTTTAAAGGTGCTGGAAAAGTTACTTATAGTGAAGTTGAATCACAACAAAAACAGCATTAATGAACCAGTGTCTGATTGATTAATACTGACAATGTCTCGCCACCTGTACCTGGGGTGGGGAAGGTGGTCTGTAGAAGAAATGCAGCAAATGTCAAAAATCAAATATAATTGGTGCCACGTCAATAAAACTAAAGCCACTCTTTTACCAGCAATGCATGGAAGGATTTGAACACTTCATAAGCATTAACCAAGGTTTTAATTATTGAACGAGGTGATACATAGACAGGTGTTGTTATACAACGCCCTTGTACTTCAAACTAACCTTTCACAATATATTGCGATCAGTTCAAATTAAACAAAAAACACATTAACATGTTAAAGTTACCATCTTTGTATTTACTTTCAACAAAATTGGTCAAGGCATATCTGAGAAATGGTTAAGGACACAAAAATGTACCACCAACATAGCAGCCAGCCATTTTGAATCAAACCACATCAGTAACCTGCCATGAGTGACTTTAATTTTAGTGATTTGGCATGCTAGAGAAACTGTTGACATGTTCATTGAATATTGGTTTTTAGGAGCGAGTGGATCACTAGTGTCAACAGTTACCCATAATAAGTGAAGATGACTAGTACCGAACAAAGTTTGCATTTACGGACATTTATGATGACCACAATTCCACTTTAACAGGCCAATCAAAGACATGCTACCACATTACTAAGTACAGAAGCTATACAGAAAGTAGAAGACTTATTACAATGGTATTATCAGTTTTAACAGGGTTTACAACTCATAGTGCACTTAACCAATTATCAGGAGGCAAAGACTTACCTGTCACCGACTGCATGCCTGTACCCTGTGAAGAGATATCAATGATAGTTAATACACTTCAGACACTTGCAAAAACCACTAACATTGAAAGAGTAATCACAGCTACTAAATACATAAACTACATTATGTGAATAAAACGAAGCTTGTTTGTCACTACCATGGTGATAGCACACAAAAAAAAGTTCTCAGAACCAAGTTTCACCCCATTTAACGCTTTATGTCCTCAAGAAGCTCCAGTCGGGATGATTTGGCATTGATGACTTATTTGACAATCAACTTGCTAAATTTCATAAAATACCTACTGTAAAATACTTTTTCACTTGGAATTAATTTTCGCTGAAGGAATTAATCAGTGAAAATAAAATCCAGCGAATATACCTGTTATCTCTATTTTACATACAACTCAAAATCAATCAAATCAAAATCAAAATAAATTCCATAGAGAACACCCAAAAAGTTTTTTCAGCGAAAATTAATTCTAGCTAAAATAAAGTATTTCACAGTATTATTTTAACATAAAACACCCAACTGAAACCAGTCTACTACTAGCATTTTCACAAGTTTCAATACACTAAATTTAATTGATAATAAGATTTAAATTCTAACTATGTTTTATACGTTTTCGACAAACCAATTTGACCCTGATAAAATTAAAACCGGTCAACTAGCAATAAATGAAAGCCGGCAGTAACAATGCATTTACCGTATGTTATGACAGATACAACTGTAGCAGCTTGTTTTTGACTAGTCCCTATAGTCTTGTATCAGAAGGAACTGATTTCAGTGGGTCAAACTGCTACAAAGTATTATTCTCTATTACACAATCTTCTCATTACAACAAAATGTTCAACCGCATGTCTTTTAAATAGAGTTGCATCAGTTATGTTAGTAAAAGTGGACATGCTGAATGAAATAATTGTTGTGCATTGTCTGATTGTTTAAACACCTTTTCTCCAGGTGTATACCAAATACTTTCACAACTGTACACAAATTAATTCTATAGAAATAGCTACGAGGGAACCAAATTTTTAATAAAATTGGCCACTGTGTTATCAAAACCAACACTCCAAGACAGGTCGAAAGAAAGTGCTACAATTGTATCAGTCATAAGGTAAATACATTGTATTTGGGGTTGTCATACTGCAGCAGGTTGAAAGCGTTTTAATTGTAAAAAAGATTTCCCATACTGATACACTTCACAAGAATAGTACAAGTTTCTAAAATTTCATGCTCAAGTTAGATGTAATTGTCATTTCATTTAATTATTATTTCTAATTGACTATTTTTTTTTAACAATTCCATGCGTTACTTTTAGTTAATTTACCTTCTATGATTTACCATTACTTTTTAACAAGCAGTATAATTAAAATTATTGGAAAACATTGTACTGCTGCTCAAAAAAAAAAAACATTTACATCTGCATGTAGTCACCTTCACCATACAACCCCTCCCAATTCCACCCCCAACAAACATGGAATATCCCTTCATAATTGCTTTATTGCAACACAAGTGTCACATAGTGTAGTGTTTGTTATGGGCCAAATGCAACACATGTTAAATTCATTAAAATTTGAACACTCGCTGCATGACGACTGATGCTTGGAGCCTCTAAATATCACTATATCAGTTATGGGCAATTACGAGTCCCCCTCCATCAAACTATTGCCCCGACCTTAGCAAACCACAAACAGTATTTCTAAGCTTTTTAACCTTCTCTGCCGTATTCATCTCTTCGACGTTTGGCTCGTGGTTCATCATAATCATCATGTCTAGATCGTCTGATACTATCTACTGCAATCCTTGATGCCATGCTGAAAGTTAGAAAACATTAAGTCAAAACCATTCTATAGCACACTTACCCATATATACAGTACATCAGACAAATTCTATTTACACTATTAGAACTGCATGTGCTGCTGTAACCAGACTATGTTATGACCAATCAGTGGGGTGTTGTGTTTCAATAATTAGATGCACTTCTAATTGAGCAAATATGGTAATTTGTTTAACCAGGAAAGCATACTAATTTGTGCATCATCTAAAAGTAATGATACAAATTTCATACATTTTTGGTGAAATAATCATTCTTTTTATATACTACAAAGAACGGATACTGGGATTACTATTGTCTTTTGATGTTTATCAATATTTTGTTTTTATCGTTCATGGCTATATTAGTGAGGTACCAGTTAATGTAGGACAACGTTCAACAAAAAATAGATTTTGTTTAGGAGAGCAGGAGAATGTTAACAATGTAATGACAAAACAAGTTCAGACTATTCAAATATTGCCCCTATACAACACTACTAACAATTTAATGTATTAATGCTAAATTTCTGCAAAACGTTCATATGCATACAAAATTATCGATTGAAGTAATCATCAACGATGCAACTGCTTTTAATCACTGCTAATAATGGGACCTTAAGTGGCACAAATCAACATTTTAATTGTTATATATTTTTATTTTGTTTGCATGCTATCTAGTTTTCCATTAAAGGTTCTCCTACTTAAAATCTCAGATTCAATGTGCCAATGCAAGAGTGTGTGTGTGGAGGAAATGAATCTGATTTGAAACATTCAGAATCACTGAGACCACTATACATTGGTGGCAGAGCATACATAGGTAGTGTTATTTTAATGTGGGTGAACAATGTAGGCTCTTCAGTTCAGCTCTAAAATAGGCGACTGGTTTTACTTCAAATGCTTAATTATTCATTGCATATCAATTTCAAAATGTGCATAATTAAAACCACAGGGAAAATGTACAGTATGAAGCCTTATTAATGGGAAGTTTTCATAGCAAGATTATACAGGAGTACATGTAAGTATTTAACCTTGGTTAAGGCACTCTGTCTAAGTACCAAGTTTGAACAAAATATATCCGAGGTAGCAAGATAGATATTTTGAAGAGTGTAAATGCTGGTCTTTGGTGAATTTACACTACGTATATCCATGAATGCCCCAGATTTCATTCTGGAATGATTAAAAGCACTTAATTTGGTGTGCATAGTTATAATGGCCACCAAAATCTATAGGTTATTAAATATTGAAAACATGTGTGTATTATGTAGGTGAAAAATGTACACATGATCTGTGATGGCATGTCTAAGATATGGCTCTGGAACACCAATTTTGAAAAACAAAATGGCCTCCAGTCAGCAACTTCTAATCAAATTGGCTGAAATGGCTCTCAAGGATTATGGAAATTTAACTACACATGCTAGAGCTATAGGAGGGTAATTTCGATACATTTTCACAACTGAAAGGACTCCTGATTATTGCAATATCATTGTTTGTACATTGTGTTTGGTCAATTTTTTGGTAATTTTGGCAGTGTCGTTGATCCTAGGAACCTTATTGATCAAAAATATCAAATTAAACTAAACTAATTTATTTTATAGTTAATAGTTTATTAACCATTATTATATTGATTTGGGGAGAGGGCACTGATTTAGTGACTGTATTTTGTGTATATATTTTATGTGTATCATGTTCTATTTGCCAAATAATTTCACAAAAGTCAACTTGTGGCTAGCATTCTCAGTGTTTTCTGCAACTTGCTTTGATGGGGACTATTTTAGTGTGTATCACTCATGACAATCCCAGTATCCGTTCTTAAAATTTGTTTCTCTAATAGAGAAATTGTTCTTGACTTAAAAAGAGAAACTGTATGTTGAAAAAAAGAAAAATGCCCTTGACTTTGAGATACTGACCAGATGTGGGCCTGGTCTAAATCACGGCACAGAGACAACTCAAAGTGAAGACACATACCACTATCCAACAGCAACCTATACAAAGTCTGATGAGGAGCAAAGTCTCTATTCGTCTCTGAGAGGGGCATTTGTCCATGAGGGGGTTGATGGGTTGTTCATTACATTGATGACACAGTTTAGTATCAGTCCCAATTGGCGTTTGTTTCCTTGGCCGTGTGATTTTTTTTAACATTGTTCAGTGCTTGGTAATTGATTAAGAAAGGGAACAATCATTCATTTCACCAGAGGGGATTAAAGTCCTAGCTCAGAGTAGGTCATCGTCTACTAGTTCCCCTTTGTATAGTAAAACCATATGCTGTTCAGGCTTAGGTTTTGACATAATACTTGCATGCACAACTAACTGTCCTAGCAAAGGTGTAAAACATCACTATATTGGAATAACGCAAGAACAGTTCTTGTATTTTTTCCCCAAACTGGCATGGTTTTCAGTGTTCACGTTTTGCGAGGCAAAAAAAAAAAGCTAGTCCTTCACATTTTTACACCCTTTGCTAGTTTTTAGTGTTTTTTGCAGAATACTGCTTCCAGGAGACACAGCTGCAATCATGTTGGCAAATTTAACAGCAGTCAGACAGCTATCACCTACACTGGTACTCAGTCACCAGTATATCACATATCATTGCCGTGGACAAACAAAATGTTGAAGCACTTCCATTGGTTTCCATGATGGAAACGCATGACGTGTATGTCAGTAACACAACGCGAACCCTGCGACAGGAAATCCCAGCTAAACGAAGCTCTGATGTTAACTTCAGGCTCCACATGGCGTATATTGTAGTTTAATCATGGCAGGATACAACAATCCTTTTTCTCCGTCCACAGTTGTAGTTATCTTCACAAGGGGAGAATGCTGCACGCGGAATTGAAAATCAACTCCATCCCTAACAGGAAAACATCAAACTTTTACCCATATTATATCTGTACACAAATGGCATGATTAAATGATGAACGAATATCAAAACCTGTTTTTTAAGGGAGAAAAAAAAATTAAGTTGCCCCTCCTCACTAAGCCCTACCCAAACCTCCGTATCGATGTTGGAAGTCCTTTTTTTTCACAGCGGGACAGGTTTTCAAGACCAAGTCCAACAAATGTGATGCTATCCTGTCCTGATGGTCTTCTTACATCGAGACTTGCAGAGATCATGTACACGCTAAATACATCACATAGTCTCTACTTAGTCCTAACAGCCACCGACAGTTCTCTAACCTGGAAGAAGTATCATGGTTTTCTCGGTGATAACGTCTTCTTGCTTTGCTCACAATAGGGGACAGGTCTATGTTAACATCCACAGGAAACATTTTGCACAATTCAGCTCCACATCTTGGTTCAATTTCCTGTAGTGGAAAATGAGGATTTAATACTAAATCTATACGAGAAAGCAAAATTGTCATGACCACAACATTTAATTCTATTAACATCTCAACAACTCTGAAAAAAGGGATTCAATAACACATAGAGAAGTGTGCTTATAACAGGTCACATTGTTAGTATTTAGTGTCATCTTTGACATTGCTATGTATTACTTGTTCATTATCATTAGATTGTATGAAAATCTTTTCCAGAATAATCAGAGAAAATGTGACCACACTTAAAAGATGAATTACAAGGACTCACCTGGCCGTCTCTTCCAATCTTCACTTGTTTGTTGTCATTCCAAAAGTTGTACAGTTGAGCAGTCTTGGAGAAAGGCAGATCTTGCCTGGAATGATGAAAGAAAACAATTAATAGGCCAGCGTACTGAAAATAATCACAATACTATATTTTCGGTTAGATTAGGTATCCTTGCCGTAGTACAAACGAATCAATTAAGGTAAATCACAAACAGCTCAAATAGATCAAACGGACTTAAAAAAAAAATTTTTTTTAGTGCCAGGTGAGAGTTTCCGACATTGAAGTCACAGTTGTCTCTCCTGACTTTTCCTTGTATGTGTGCAAATTTTTCTCCGAAATCTAATACTGTATGTTTGGAAAGCAGGGCAAACTGTACTCAGATTTATTGATTCTGGGAAACTAATCCATAACATCCCAGGTGTGAGGTGAACACACTAACTGTTGTACCATCATCCAAACAGACTTTTGTTCCAAACTAACCTAGTAATCCAATCTATCTTGAACACGCCTCCTAAAGCTGCTTTACTCAAGCCTACTGGTAAAACCCAGTTAACAGTTGGACCATCTCGTCTTGATTCACTACTCAAACGTGCATACCCTGGAATAAAAAAAGAACACATTTAGCAAGGACTTCAATGAAACCACAGTTTTCACCACAGACTTCAATGAAGTCACAGATAAATAACTATTTTGCACATACCTTGGAATTTCCCACTTTCCTTGACTGAGAATATGAGTAACACATTACAAGACTCTTTAAAGGCTTTATTAAGTCTCTGTTCATTGTTAGGTGGCGTGGACCAGACACCCTGTAAAATAATACAATCAATGCTTTGTCATTTACAACTCATGGTAGCCAACTAAACTACAATACCAGTAATTGAGAATCATGAATTTACATGATGTAAAAGGTAATAAGTTAAACTACACTAATATGAACTACTGTAAAACACATAGAAATAGCTACATGCCATTTTAGTGAATTTGACTCAATACATGAATTAACAAAATCTTAATTTAGCTAAAATGTAAACAATCTCATTCCGAAAATATACTATATTTTAAATTAGCAACATCTTGAATTAGCTAAATTACAGATTAGCTAAATTAACATGCTCGCTAAAAAGACATGTTTTACAGTAATTCTATTCTAAAGTTTATACAGAAAATTACTAACAATATCTAAATAATCAAACACTGTACAAACAATTAACTTAAAAAAAAATCAACATAAACAAACTCATTAAATATGGAATATACACTGACCTTGGCCTTGGCCAGTGCAACATTCTCATGATTGTTACTCTTGACAAGAAAATACCTGGCATCTCTCAATAAGTACTTCTGCTTTGAACTTTGATCTGGAAATAACAAATTTATTGGAAGTCAAATACACACATAGGCAGAGTATCGGTGGTTGGTCCACATGCATAGAGGGAGGGGGGTATGCATGCCGTATGTTATCCCTGGATACACAGAGTGGGCATTATTTACATTCACTCAAACACTGCCATGGATCCTGATATAGCAAAATGACAGAAGACAGAAATCAAAGAATTTGCATGCACACACCAGCAACAAACTAACTTTGATTGTCGATACCCAACAATTTAAGCGAATTGCATCAAATTCTAAGTGCAATTGGGCTTTTTAGAGATAAATCAAGGTTACTTGTTCATGTTCTGCCCATCTGCTTGATAAAAGTGTGCATCCATCTCATTTTACTATATCAGAATCCATAACAGTGCTTGAGTTGACAGCCAGTGACTGAACGTAAATAACACCCACTCAAACAATGCTGTGGGATCCAGGGCTAGCTGCATGTGGAAAGACTAATAGGTGGGAAACTATTTATCATCAGGGACTGCACCGCAAGAACACCATGCATTGGTACTTGACAGCTGTACAATAGGTAACATGCAGCAAGGGCATTGCATCCATCTTTCGGTCACACTGAATACCTTTCTGAGAAACAGAGGAAGACACTGTAGATTTCTGGTGAGTACCTTCAGAACCAGATTCAGCCTTAGAGCTTCTATCATAAACAATTGGAGAAATGCCTCGCTTTCTTTTCTTGTGGCTGCCTCTTCTTCTTTCTCTGCGTCTTCTGTGTTCACTGCCACTATCTGGAAAGGAGAGTGAAAGTAATTTAATAATCCCATTATAGACAAAATAGCTAGACTTGTGTACAAGATTACACACTCGCACACACAAGAAACAGAAGAGCAGAACATCACTACATCAACTCAGTATTCTTATTTTCCAGAGTTTCATTAGAAGTTACAACACAACTGCTGAACACCTAATGATAAATGTGTAGTATAAGACTTCGTAGAGAAGAGTGAAAAACAATGAGGTTCATGACAAATGCAGCCATATCATTAGTTTAAATGTACATTCGTGTCAGGTTCTTTCTTAGATTTGAAGGATAGAGGTTTTTATGACAGATTTACGTTAGCAAATGATAAAGTAAACCTCTATTTGCAAGTGAATTAATTTCAACAAAAAACCTCCAAAATTTAACTTAATTTGCCTGATTCTGATGGTAGTGATTTATAACAATAATTGGTCTAGATGCAATGTGTTCGGCTTTGCCTGACACATTATCTTGCCATAGACTCTTCTCATCCAATAAGGAGCATTAGAAGATTCATTATTGTATAAATATGAACAGTACAGTCTCACAGACTTTTGCTATGCATTGGCAGAGACAATGACCAACTATATTTGTTTACAGCTTGCGAGATTCTCATGATAACCACATACTAGTAGTTACGTGACACGGATTCTGCATTGTAACTTGTACATTTCAACATTCTAGCGGGAACTCCAAAAGCAACAATGAACAACAAGCTTACTGGATGAACTGCTACTGCTGAAAGACCTGGTGCGTGACCGTGACTTGGATCCTAAGTTTGACCGAGAACGTGATAGTGACCTATAACTAGATTTTGACTGTCCGCTACTGCTTGATCCAGCTTCACTACGGGTATCAAACTCTTCCAAATCAGGATTTAATGCACACTCTTCATTGCCGATAGTTTCATCTTCTATTGTCAAATTCAATTTATCGTCATGACCAACATCCTCTTTACTGGTGTTGAGTTCTGTATCTTTAGTGATAAATAATGGAAATGTATGATCATAATTCATTTAATATCAAAATCAAATTGTTTAAATATAATCTCTGTACCATGTACCAGTAATACTACTCCAATCACTCAAACACATGGACTTAGAAACCTTACTTAGCTTTCCCACTGAAAAATATTTACACAAGTGAAACCTTACCTTTTGTTTCCTGGTTTTGCTCAGCAACAATGGAATCAACTTCCATCATCTCCTAAAAAAAACACGTAATTCAACATCTGGTTTATCATAATACCATGCAATAATTAAATTTTATCTGACAATTTATAGCAAAAGAAATCATAATCAATTCAATGCACAGTGACCAGTAAACACTACATTCTGAATGCAGCCATTTCCTCTGCTAAAAAGCTTTATGTACTTAAAGCGCTCGTCTTTTTGTGTGTATTTGAATTTTGTGTAAACAAACAATGTATTTTACGTTATATACATTGCTATAGTTCGAACATTAAACGATGCGACAACTGTAGTGCTTTAACTAAGAACTGTTGAAAAAATAAATAAGGAAAACTGTTGGTTTAGTTTCTTTCAGTGAAAAGGGTTTAATTAATTGTTTTACCTGGTTTTCTTTCACTTTCTCATCAACTTTTCCAGTTTTCTTCGTCGAGACCACTTTCCGAGACTTTTTAGAAGTCTCAGGCTTAGATTTGTCGTCCTCGTTGACATGTTTACTTTTGGTAACAGTCTTTTTATCCTTCTGTTCAGTAGATTGATTAGAACTTGCACTACTAGCACTCGGTTTCTTCACTTCTTTTTTGTCTGTACTTACTTTTACCAAATTCTTCTCATGCTCAAACTTTTCAGATTCTAATTTCTTTTTTTCAATCGGTCTAGATTTTTCAGGTTCTTTTTTCTTCTCAGTTCTGGCCCTTGAAGCAATAGGCCTTTTAGCACCTTTGTTTTTATCATTTTTTCCCGAGCTTGAAACAGTTTTACTCGCAGTGGCAGTCTTGTTTGTCGTTGACTTACTGGTTGATGATTTTTCACTACTTGCCTTCGCAGTTTTCTTAGTTTTGGTGTTTTTATTAACACTTGTACTCTTAGACGTGGTAGATCTAGTCACCTTCTTTGTTACTGCTTTCTTACCTAAAAATTGCAAACAAGTTTACAGTCAAATGTTTCAGCACAGCTTGTACTTTTTTTATACAGGCAAGGAAAAAATACAATACAAAAGAGATTACAATTTTCCTTTTTTTTCAAACATTTGTCTATTTGTTAATAATTTTCTAAAATCAATATAGACCAATATTGACCATCACTGAATGTCTTCAATCCTTGTATATACTTGACTCAAACTTTGATTTATTTCTCTGACAGAACACTTCTTAGAGAACTAATATTCTAAATTTATGAGAAAAAATGAATATTTGTTCAACTAGTATAGTATGTAGCTATATGAATCCAGAAAAACTTCCCTTTGCAACATCAAGTACTGCATGATCATTGGAGAAAATTAAAATTATACATGGTAATACATTGTACACCTACTTGATTTGCTTTCAGCTGCAACATTATCGTTGATTTCATCTTCAAACTCGTTGTCTATGACTAAAATGTCATCCAATACACTAACAACACCATCAGGAGCCCCTGTGTAAATAATGATTATCGATATGATTCGTCATTTGGGTCAATTTTTTATCAGACAAAAACAAACATTGGTGTAGTAAAATAAAGCGTGCGCAATGTAGTATTGCCATGTGAACGACATTTTTAATTACATTAGCCTTTCGAAGATTAATTAACAAAATCAACGGGTAATACTTCACACATTGTGAATACCCCACGGGTATCTTATGACCTTATCCAGTCAATGTATCTCCATGACCCCATATCGACTCAAGCATCGAAAACAAAGCCGGGAAGAGCGCACCATTGTAAAATCCGCGTGAGAATATAAGAAACACATTTCTGGTAATCTAAATTCAGAGGAGTGAAAAATGTATAAAACTACGACACACACAGTGTAACATTTTGCAAATCGTATTCTCTTTTTTTAGCGAAATCACTGGCACGCGGGATATTTTTTCAGTGAAGGCTGTATAACCTCGAGACAATGACGTTTTTAAAGATACAAACCTTTGCCGTCAGTCTTTTCGTCGGTCATATTTTATCGATCAATGGATTCCCGGTGTCCTGTTTGACAAGTGGTGTTACACGTCGATCAACAGTCGACGCAAAAACACCGTCTTTTTCCTTTTTTCAACAGTTACGTTTTCTCATAATCTACAACGTCGCATAAAACATGGCGGATAAAACAAACATCTCGCGATTGTGTTTTATAATACGCGAGAAAGTACGAGACCGGAGCGCCACCAAGAGCTGCGACGCAAACTATGTGAAATAGTGGTAAACCCTGTGGTAAACTAAATGTCTTCACTACACTGTCGTTCCATTGAATAAATTCCATTACACTTCATTTATTCAATAATGATGGATGAGCCAGAGATGCGGTAGCTTTATTTACAGACGCGGGCGGGAAAAAAAAAACATGTTATGTTGTACGTTATGCCAGGGTACATGGTAGGCTGTACTAGTTGTGATACCAAGGGAAAAAAGTTAGTAACCCTATACTTTATATTACGGGAAATTCCCTGGAAACATGTGTCCGAAAGCAATGTAGTACATAGTACAGGGAAAGTGTCGGATTACACTTTTATCACATAAAGGGTAAAGCAAGTGAACTTTTACATATTTAAATATTTAAGAACTGGTTGATTAACCAACATGTAGAAACCACATTCCAAATCCAAATTACATGTAATATATCTTTGAAGTTCACAGCGGGCGCAAGATATTTACATACACCTAACTCCCTCCACCCGGTGGGCAATTGCAGAGGGACTTTGCAACATTCCAGATACTTTCTCGACAATCCAGTGACCGTTGTAGACGCAATAAAATTAGATACCCGCCCACGTGAACAAAACAACGGACCAAGGTTTCAGACGGGTTCAACTATTACAACTTGTAAGCGTCCCGTCAAACATTTACAAAACAATCATGTTAATAATAAACCTTGTTGATACAATTATTTAAAAACGCCCCTCAAATTTAAGGAAATTATTTAACTACCCTCGTGAGAACAGTTAAGTTTTGAATGCAGTTTACTAGTATTATTTTCAACTAATTGTTGACTGTACAATTAATGCTATTATGCCAAAGCGTGTAGACAAAGACACTCAAATGGAAATTGTTCGCCTTTTGCGAACAATCGACGAGGAAGTTGGACGAGCAAAGGTTCACTGGATTGTTCTGCATTTCTGTCGCATTAGATCAATACGTTCCGATAGAAGTAGTGACCGTCGTCGACTGAAGTCTACACGAGAAATCGTTGAGTTTATCGAATTTCGTCTCAGATCCGGAGGATATTTTAAACTGGTATATGGTGACGGTGTGGAGGTGAAACTAAGTAGAAGATTCCAGAAAAGAATGACTGGACGATGAGTGTTCTGGCAAACAGGCAATGGGACATGCCATTATTCGAGAAATATAGAACGCTTCACCCACAACGTTAATATTTTAATATGAACCATTGAGAACATCTCAGCAAACTACTATCAGGGGGAAAATTCTTCTCTCTCTGGGTTCTCTACACGTGTCAGGGGGGAATCTCGTCTCGTCTCTATATCTCGTCCCCTTGAGGTATGGGATCGGGAAAGTCACTTTAACTTTACAGTCAAATACGACACACACAACGAAATACGTTTCAGCTCTCGTCTTAGTCGGTCAATCGAGCACTCTATAAGACACAGCGCCCTGGGGAAAAATCCCCAAGACTATTGCAAGGCTGAACCAAGACTCGCCCAAGACTGGACTGCCTCAAGGCTCGCCCCAGGACTGCACTCTCGACTGCGTCTCTCGTCTCTCGTGGTGTACTCGTCAAGACCAACTCAAAACTCTCTTTATTCATTTTCAAAACTCTAACCAATTACAAAACAGTAAAAAGACTCTAGGGCGTAACCTTCAATCATAAAGCCAATCACACTAAGTACTGAATACGTCATATCTTTTGATTAATCGTTCACTACATTAATAACTATGAATATAAACTGTCAGAATGAATAGTCTGAATAGCGGCGGTTATCTGGTAATTAGTTCCAAATCACTGAGCCAAGTTCCGTCCAAAACTTCAAATAGGCCTAAACGATGACAGACATAACACAGCAATTCGCTAATAATCAGCTAATTAAGTCGGTCAACAGATACGCAAAAACAAATTCATGACACTACCAATCAAAAGAATTTACATTTATCATTTCTTGTTAATATTCGTTTCCCGTTTTATGTTCGTATTATATTTCTCGCAAGCGTTACACAGCAATGATTTTTGTTCCTACAAATCAATTAAATTGTCCAACTACCCCTCTTCCCTCATGGCCGCGTCCGGTGTTTTGATTAATTAATTAATTTGGATTAACTGTCACGTATGCGTGTATGTAACTTTATTGCGTCCACAACGGTCACTGGAGTGTCTAGGAAAGTATCTGGGATGTTGCAAAATCTATCGGTAAATGCCTACCGGGTGCGGGAGTTAGGTGTATGTAAATATCTTGCGCCCGCTGTAAAATACGGGCATGCAATAGATGTCAACTTTGCTCAAATCATTTCATTTCCTTTCCGATTTTACTTGACTTATTATTAAACGTTATATGCAAAGAAACGCCTAAAAAGATAACGTAATCATGGCAATGTTTTGCAAATTTAGACTTGCAATAATAATACTACATTAATGTAACTATTCGTATAGTCAATACGCAGTGCTAGCATATGAAATATCATATATTGACCACGAAATATGCGATTCTTCCCATTCCTTTTTGTAGTATTTCTGTTGACGGCAAATAACGCCAATTTACTGTGTTCGGCATCACATTTTCTTTCTTAGGACACAAATACGACCAGAATTGGGCTGATCTCCATTGCAGTACAATTAGTGCTCCCCTCGCCCTGTCTGTTGCCAATTTACGCAACCTTGCTGGTACAAGCAAGTTGTTTTCTCCTGCCCAGTTTTGACAAAATACATCAATGCACCTCTCTTTATTATATTGATTTTATACTATATGTCAATGATTTTCAGCTATATGCAACTTTTAATAAGCCATCTGATATTAGTCCCTGGCTGAAATCGAGCATATTGATTCTCAACCCTGGCAAGACGGAAGTTATTCATTTTTCATCGCGCTTTAAGAAGAACATTGAGATGTTGTTGTGGATCGGTGGGTCTGACATAAATCTTTCAAGCTCAGTCCGTAATCTTGGAGACCATTTTGAAACTCATGGTGAATTGGGACACCGTATTAATAAGATTTGTAAGTCAGCTTACGTTCGTAAAAATCGAATAAAACGGCTACAATGAAGTTAGTCCGTGCATTTGTGACGTCAACATTAGACTACTGTAATAATATATTTTATGGACATCCTCAATTTCAGCTAGACAACTCAAATCTGTTCAAAATGCAGCAGACAGACTCGTCAATTGTAAAAAAAAAATTGACCACATTGCATGTACATTATGATTTGCATTGGCTACGCATTCATGAAAGAATACATTTTAAATTACTGTTGACTGTTTATACAATTTTAAATAATTCTGCTCCAATTTATTTATGTGACTTGGTTGACCGTTATGAAACGGGTCATAGTGGCCTCAGGTCATCTAACACTGATCTTTTTGGTATTGAAAAGACAAGAATATTCAAAATTGTACCACAAAAACATATGGTTGGCGTTCTTTTAGCAATTGTGCCCTCTTTTGTCCCTTGCATCTTTGCTGAGAATGAGCAGCTTCAGTCAAGGTGCAACACACGGAGTTGATGAGGAAACAGAATTATTCCTCAATTATCGAACAAATCGGCCAAGGAAGAGGGGTCAAGTTTAAACTATTCCAGGTCACATGACCAAAAGTGGTACAAGTACACTGATGATCAACGTACCACACATTTAGCTAAACAGCAAAAGTAAAACCCCAGTGCTTATCTTTAATGTGTATTATGATTTAGGATGCTTTCATTTCAAAAAAATTAAAGTGAAACTATATTTTGTTTGAGGGGGATCACATTTTAGCTTATGTAACATCTTATGAGCCCATGCAATGAACATGAAGTTGTGTATATGTATTGGCAATAGGTTTTCACACTACTTAAAACCACCTGTTTTCAGTATGTTAAACGATGAATTACAATATTTAAATGCTATGTAACATGTTATAAATTAACTTTCCAGCATTAATATTCAATATTAAACATTAAATTACATTTATTAATGTGTCAAATCTCACTTGAAATGGCTACAACTGTAATACGTTCGCCATCAACCAACCATTGTTCAAATTACAAACTAGCAGTACGTATGATTCAAACCCACAACCACAGAAAAGTGCATTGCCACATACCACAGAAATTTTGCTCAGTAAACTGTATTCCCCCGTTTTTTAGCTCCCATGAAACGGAGCTTATGTGGTACCGGTGTCTGTGACTCTGTGACTAAAATTTGTTCCACTGATAACTCAAGATCTACAATTTCAATTCAAATAAAATTGGACACACAGCTAATATATGATGAGTAGATGTGCTGATTAGATTTTGGTGCAATTTCATGCATATTAATTAGTCAATTATTGCATTAATTAATTTATAACTTAGAGTCTTTAAAGTTTCTTAACAAATATTTGACGAGGTAGCCTAATTAGCCCTTTGAGTCCAACCCTGTTCAACATCTTCATAAATGACTTTAATACAGGACTCACAGAAATTGAAACAATTGTACCAGAACTGGATAATAAAACTATCAATAGCCTATTGTATGCTGATGACATTGCACTACTATCAAAATCATATGAAGGATTACAAACTGCAATAGACTTTCTCCATAAATACACTTCAGACTGGGGGCTACAAGTAAACACAAACAAAACGCAAGTGATTATATTCAGGAATTCGGGATGCAAACCAGATACAAGGCGATTTACATGTGGCAA